TTTTATGTTCTTGAATTTGTAGTTGATGGGGACGTTCAATACAGTTCTTTTTACATCTGATGCATTCCTTTTTAGGTAGTATTGGTCTTGTTTCCTTTTGCTGTTGCGTCTTTTAGTCTGCATAGCATTCAACGAATTGCTTTGGTTTTTGTGCGATATCCATTTAGAATAGTTCTAATATTCTAGACGTTATTTTAGAAATATTCTCCACATAATGCCAGAGTGGCTTGCTTGGGGTTCCTGATAAACAGCCTCAAGAATACTTGAACATTTTCAAGGTAACAGTTTTTTTGTAACAGACTATTAATAAGTTCGTTCTTCATCTAAAATTACAGTGACTACTAGATTGTATTACACAATCCTTACTGCGACTTCCATTTATTTTGTATCACAATTTTAGCTGCAGTAAATTCATTTTATTGTTAATTTATGCATATCTAAGATGGTATGCGTCGGTGGAACAGCGGTAGAATGCCAACCACACACGCATATAGTCCGCGGTTCGATCCCCTGCCAACGCATTCTTTTACCTCGCTAGTAAAGAGAGAAGGTTGGGCATGAGGCTTGCAACCCCATCCCTTAAAAATAAACACCACTGCTACCGAAACTTCAAGCCTCTAGCTTGGAGCCCTATGTTATACTGGGAACGTAAAGCAAAGCTAGTATGCTATGAGCCCTTAAACTGGAAAATTTTAACAGAAGGCTTATATAATATGTGATCCCTTAGAACAAAGCTGAACCTTATAAATCAACCTAATGTAGAGAAATTAACAATTCTCTAACAATGTGTTCACATATATAATACAAAATATCAGTTATTTTTTGGCAAAAATAGCTTTTACAACTCAGTAAACACCTGCTTACTGACTTTATTGTAATTACATAAAACAATACAGAAATGATAGACACTTAACAAGTAGAATCTTTGATCAAAATGTTAACCTTTCGCATTTGTTTGCCTATCTTTTAATGAATTCTTTTCACTACATTCAGCAAGAATCAGTAACTCATGTATTTCTTTCTACTTAACTTTATCATAATAGCAATAATAATGCACTAAGGTTTTCACATTCTTCCATAAACACAGAGTGACTGATCTATTAAAATGTCAGTGATTTTATGATTTCACTGTACAATTTATCCATTGGTTATTAAAACATATTTATATTTATATGAAATATAAATATACATCTGTGCTTGTCTTCATGAAAATCATGAGGTTAACACAAATATATATCTAAGGAAATAAGGTTAAGTAAATTAATGAATGATTTTTACTTTAAGACCTCTAGATATTAGAAAGGTTAGATGATCTAGAATGCGTACATGTTTTCAATTAAATATTACATATTTATTTGTGTATAATTTATGGGAATGTAATTTGACTGGCTATTACTATTACGTTTTTTGTGTTCTCTAAGCTGTATGATTTTATTTATAAAACTTTTATCTGCCTTCTGGACAATATTTTCAGTGCTAACTACAAAGTGAAGTGAGTTTTGTGATTTCTTTTGATTCCTTTATGTTTTCAGTGGAACATAGTGCTTCAAGCGATAACCTTGAAGTTCCAGTAGCATTGGTTTTGTTTTTAGGGAGATGAATTTGTTAGCTTCACGCCTAGCTTTCCCTCTTTACCAGCCTTACTCCTGCCCTAACGAGATTTAAGAGTGCGTCGGTAGAGAATCGAACCCTAGAGCCCTTGCTTCGTTTGCGAGCATTCTATCGCTGAACCTCAGATGCATTTTCCAGCTTCCTAAGATCTCGATAAATGAGTTGAAAACCTTTCCTGTTAACTTTAACCATCCCAGGAGACTTTCTTATGGTTGTATTTATTTGTATTGACGTGAGTTTTAACCCTTGTTTACAAGTTGTATTTATTTACATAATAAATGAAGATCTTCAAATTTTCTTGTGACAGTCTGTAAATAAAACATAGTGGGATTACAGTGGGATCAAACCGGTTCGTACTCATTTTGCTGTCTAAATGCAATGGAATCAGGTGCAACATTGATGACTTTGGCTGTAAATGAGAAGAATGGCCTCAGTAGTATTCAGATTACTTCAATCTATCTAGCAAATGCTACTGATTAATGTGTGGTACCCAACTACTCATTGTCACTCAGTAGTATGTAGCACCATGGTATGACATTTATTATTCATATTCAACTTTACAAACATTCTTTCGGTTTAAATGTCCTTATTATGACAACTGTTGGACTAGATTTAGGTAAATAGGTATTTTCAGTGAATTCTCACTAAGCTTTACAATTATATAATGAAATTTCAGTCGTAGTCACTTTAAACAATGTGGATCAATAGAAGGAAATAGGATCAAGTTTCAGGGATGTAAGTTAGTGGATAACAGTTACGATACTAATAATAATTTGTGAAACGAAGATTCAGATATGCAAAAACAGCAAAGCATTACACTAATAAAAAAGTCAGCAGTTTAAAGAAAAAATGTAATATTTACAGGTATCCAGTGTCACTGATTGAGACAATTATCCTAGATTGTGGTTCAAGGTCATTGAAGGGAGAAGGAATGGACAAGCTTTTTCTGACCACATAGAGTGTTTTGAAAAATTTCGTGGCACTTGCTTCAGCTTTGTTGAGCGACCGAAGATGTACCAATTTGAGGTGGCATTTTGTATAGAACTGTAAAGGCTAAACTTTCATCCTTCTTGTGCTCTGTCTCCAGAAGACGTGCAAATGGGGGACTCTTGATTGACTTCACGAGTCCTTCACCTCACCACGTTGAACAATTCTCAGAAACGCTATTTTAGTGTTTCTAGAATCTTGTACCTATGCAAGGGTCTGCACAAGTTCAATTAAATTTATAAATTACATTGAAGTAATCAGACTTGGTAGCTTATCTTTCACCTCTGTTAGAATGATTCGACATGCGAATTTTAAATGCAGTATAGCGGCAGAGAATGTTTCAGCTGTTATTTGTTGGAGTTTTACTGCCAAGGATTTAGTGCCTGCACCTTTTTTGAACGGTAAAAGTATATATGTATATATATCTTCTGCGGAGTTTGTGGGCGTTTTGCCCTGTCTGTTCTCAGAATTCAGAGTTTAAAAATTTGTATGGATATCCATTCTCATATAATTTGTGGAAGAACCATAATGAACGTTTTAAGAGGGACCTCAGCATCGCTTTTATTCTTATTCAAGATAAAAGTATCATCCATGCGCATACAGTAGAACGAGAGTTTCTTGATTACATTTTTGAGTGAACGATTCTCTAATCTTGCTATAAACATGTCGGCTAACAAAGCATCTACGGGTGAACCTTCTGCTACGTGTTTCACTGGGAGATAAATTTCGTTTTCCAACTGAAACTGCGCATTCCTTGTCCTGGTTATTTTAAAATTATTACACTTATTAATTATGACAATAAAACTCTTACTGTGTAGATCAGTAATAAAAGAGTAGATATCGCTGAGCAATTTAATGATGTTTAAACTTACAGACGTCTGCTCAAAAAATCTCAGTTTAGTGTTACTAAGAATCGTATAAGGATCTTTTACTTCTCTAATATTCTCACATATTCCATTTATCTTTCACAGCTAATGAAATAAACATATCCTGCTATATAAAATACCTAGAAATAACTACACAGAAATACCCATTACAAGCGTTACTTATACAAATACTAGGTAATATAAAAACCAGTGCGTTGGTGATACAGTGGTAGAATACTAGCCAACCACGTATGTGGTCTGGGGTTCAATCACCCAGAGACGCACTCATATACCTCACCAAGCTGGCAATAAGACTGGTAAAGAGGGGAGTTTGGGCAAAAGGTTAGCAACCCATCCCGAAAAATGAACACCACTACTACCGAACCTTGAAGCCTCTAGCATTAAGTCCTATGTTCCCCTAGAAATGTAAAGGAATAAAAAAATGTACAAAAGCCAACCTTTTGTGATGTATGTATCTTTACAACAGACTTGTCATTTATAATTAGTTTTTAAGCTCTTTTAAAACTTAAAACATGAGCGCTTTCAGAAATATAATTATTTTGACAATTTATGTTAGTAGAGAAAATAAGTAGGCAAGAAAACCCTTTTTGTTTTTGCTAAACGTTGTGAAACCTAATTAACTTATGACATGTTCTAAGATGATTGTTTAACTTAAAACACCATCTTTTAGCGGTAACATTTTGCTTTACAGAGTTTTATTTCCTTATTTAAATAATATTTATTACTTTTATTTTGTTTTATTTTGACAGTAATATGTTGCTTAATGGTAACAACGATAAGTACCTGAGTAATGCTTACACTATTGTTGACTGATTCTGTTGAAGGAATGTTAAGAAATATATGTTGAACATGCAATTTCCTGTGCACCTAAATAAGACGTTTTCCTTGGTGAATACAAATCTGAAGGGGAAAATCCCTGGATATTGCTACGTCCCATCATTTATCAACACATCTGTGGCATGGTTGTACTCACTTAGCTAATGTATTTGAATCGTAAGGCTTTGACTATCTATTTAGGCAACTATCTAATACCAACAATTCACAGTGCACCGTGATGGCAAACCACCAAGCACGGTGACCACGCTGCACACTTAACTGATAGAATTCAGTCTGCACCAAAGAAAGGACTACACACATCAAACTGGTTACTGACCAGTGTCCAATCGGAGTATCAAATGCAGTCTTACAGGAGGTCAATCACGAGCCCGAATAGCTCAGTGGTAACGTCTCTGACTGCAGTACTGGTTGAAGCGGATTCGAATCTCAGAAGGAACATGAGTTCCTTCAACGTTGCAAATACGCCTTGTTGACTGGTGAGTGCCAACTAGCATGAAACCTAGGTTCAAGGCTTCCTGCCAATTGCCTTTAACCATCTAATATCATCAAAGCAATTGTTCTTCACTGTTCGATAAAAGTGGTCTATTCCATTATATCTGTTAATTGCTTTAGTGGTTTTCCTGACATTCTGGGTCTTTCTTCTTTTTAGAATTCGCATAATTTTCTATAATTGTCTACATGCATTTATATGAATTAATGAAGGAAAATTCTTATCGATTTAATATCAATTATGTCAAAGAAGAGGGTAAAGAAAGACTCCAAAAGCAGCCAGTTACGTTCAGGTTTATAAGAAGATATGGTTATTACGTTCATAAAGAGTTTCTACGGTTCATCTGATGTTGTTTAGAAACACATCAGAAGCTTCATAACTGAACCACCTAGCCCAAAGAATACATGAACACTTGACTCAGTAATCTCAGTCAAATAAATTTTATCACTTATGTCAGTGGCATTAGTAAAGGGTATATATACTTTATGTCGAATCAGAAGAAATAACCAAATGAATAGCCTATTATGGACAACCTGTATCTTTCAGGTGTAATAAACCATTAAAGAAAGAACTTATTAAGTGATGGACTGCTTAGCTATTACCTATAAAGTCCAACATCTTAGTGTTAATGTTAATTTGAACTATCTATGATTTGTTAATCGTTTATCAAATTACTAATGTCTTTCGAAGTTTGTAAAACTTTGTCATTTTCGAAGGCTGGATTACAAAGTTTAAACATTTGTACTCAAAGATTCTTGTTTTAAACATTATGAAGATGACAAACTGACTCTTAAAATACTGAATTCATTTTTAAATCATCAACCTTTGTGAAGTAAAGCCTGTTATATCAATCATATCCCTAATAAGTTCCAATAGGTTTGAGTTTATAAAACAAAAATTCGGAAAATATTGCAACATTTTCAGCGTATCAGTGTTTTTTTCAATGTAAAACTAACGAGATTAAGCATAACAAAGCATGCTTATTGCCAGTTTCTTGAAAATCTTTCTCCGTGGTCAAGCAAGCTATAAACGAAGTTTGTTGGTAGCTTTGCAATTAATAGTTTTCTCTGAGCTGGTTGGTTTAGTTGCGGAGCTTTCGTCGTCTTTCTGGACAACATCTTCAGCACAGTATTTAGGATAAAGTGAAATGATTTAAATTTCTTCATGAGTGATATAATTGCGTATCCCAGTAACCATCTTTAGATATGTAGTGACTATTTTCTATTGATTTGGAGTTTAAACTTTCTGGTCACCTGATTTACTTTTTATTAGTTGGTATATTTCGTCAATATTAACGTTTTTATTAATTGCATTTTCGTTTGAGTATTAGGTTTCTAGGAATTCCCTGGAACTTTTGGTGTTTCCTCTGTCTAAGATTTTGATATCATCCCAATCAAATTGAGGCGAATCGCAATAGCCTCTGCTGTTTGGAGCCTGCGGTGTTTCCATATTTTTGGCAGTTTATTTGGCACCCGGTATAATATAGAGAAGGATTCATCTACACTGGCTTTGTGGCCTGTTTGCGCCAGATGTTCCAATATCGAGCTATTAATAGTTTTCACTACAACTTTACTTAGCTATGCTGGGAGATGTTCTCGAGCACGAAAAATCAAGTTCCTAGAGCAGCGGCCAATATAACTGGCTCCACAAGCGCAGTTGAATTGATAGATACAATTAGAAGTGGCTAGTCTAGGTACTTCATCTTTCAGTCGAGGAGTCACCATCGATAGTGTGGAGAATAATACGTGTAGTCCGCCAGCATTAAAAGTTCTTTGAATTGATTTTCTTAATTTCTTCGCAATTATCTCGCTCGGTATATCACCCATGACTTGTAGTCGTATATAAAGAGGCTTCTTTTTTTACAGATAGTGAGTCGCTTTGTTTTATCACACCATATTGATACTCAGCATAAAGATGATGTTAACAAAGCGCTTAAAGTTCTCTACCCCATTCTGACTAATCCGAATTTTACTTTGTGAATCGCTGTTTTGCATACATCAGAAGCCGTTAAAGTTCATATGTAGAAGCCCAATCTGTTTGTTCAGAAGCAGTCCCTTATCTTGACCATCTTTACATGAATGTAAAAAATAACGATTTTCTCTTTCTTATGAGCCATTTTTATTCTTCCAGTTGTCATGTTACTCTGTCTACGTCATCTCTGATTATTCTGACGTAGTTAGTTTAAACATTCGCGTTTATTCCTCATATTTGTCCGAAAGTGATGCACAAGGTAATTTCTTGACTACTAATATACCGGCAGTTTACTGTCATATAAAACAACAAAATAAAATCTAATATTCAGTGCATACCATTTATATTTTAAATTGTTTGGCGACAGAATTTCGGAAGTGAATATCCCAAAAGGTAACTTAAACTAGGCACACAGAATTATTACATTTAAAATGATACTTTACTCATTGTTTTATTTTCTCATCACTTTCTTTTTATAAAGGCCTGGAACGAATATAGCAAGGGTGTATGCAGTTGATGAAGATTCAGCTGAAAATGGTCGAATAACTTATGGTATTAAAGCTAATGAGCATACAAACCATCAGTCATTATTTGAACTTGATCCAGTGACAGGTGATTTAATTTTAAAGCGTTCGTTAGACTTCAACATGGATTCATCAGTAATGAAAGAAGGTGAAAGAAGCTCAAAAAGGTTAAAAATGTCCCATCTTCAAAGTAGAAATAATAATAATCAGGAAACTGATTACAGAATTGCTCAAAATCATTCCTCCCATGATAAAATTGAAATAAGTGAATCGAAAAAGAGAATCTATGATAGTCAAATGGCGTATAGCTTGATTGTTACAGTAAGTAATTTAATGCTTTTTTATCATGATCATGTTGGATACAATTTAAGCACAGCGCATCTATCAGTTATTGTGTACATTTGGCTTCACGGAAAGTAGGAATACAAAGTATAAATTGATACGTTTATGAAATTTCACAATGGACTGACACCATTTAGAGAACCAATAAAAACCAGGAAGTACTGGACGGCTGTTTCGTCACATTTTGAGACTCATCCACAACACGCACCAACCCGTTTTCTAGCCCAAGACCTTCTGATTACAAAGCAGGCTCGTAGATCATTCAGCCACCAGGACCTTGCTCACTGGCAAGCTCATGATTTTAGCACGAACACCAAGCAGTGTCACAGGCAAGTATTTGTTCTCCCTCCCGATAGGGTGGACCCCACTGGTCACGACGTCTCAATAGAACTCCAGGAAACTCCGTCCTGTAGCTTTGCCTTGTAACCAGAAGCTCCTGTGATTGAAACCCTGTGGGTGCTTACTGCTGATGAGTCCAAAACTAGGACTAAAAAGCTGTCGAGTTCTTCCTGGTTTTCAATGGTTGTCCAACTGATAACAGTCAAACTTGAAAGACAGATCAAATCCCTGCGAATCAACTCTTGAAAATAAACTGACAAACTAAATGAGGTACAGAATTAGACAGTGACAAGCAAGTGAAGTGTCGAGATTTTGAAGGTGTAGCAAATGAAAGATAATGGCTGAGTGCAGCAACTCATATTAAATTGTTACAAATAAGAATCATGCACGATTAAAGAAACATAAACATGTCTTGAATGAATATCAGTAAAAGGTTTGAGCATTGTGGATTAGATTAAATAAAGTATTATTATATTTCAATAGTATACCAATAAAACTTGTCATTGTGTGTAAACTATTGAAATATAATTATATTTTATATCTTGAATGATAATACTTAACCATGGTACGAGTTAAATACAATAAATAAAAAGTATACAGCCTTCAAGACAAAAGCTAGAAATTAATTAAGATACTTGGTAACAGTGTCAGCTAAGGAACCACAAAGTATGTTATGCAACTGACCAAATCTTACTGTCATATTTTGGAGTGGAGAAAGAACAAACATCGGTGCAAAATAATATGGATATATTTCATTTCGCTGGTTCTTATTAGTTGCATACAGCCTATACGTTTCGTCTGTCAACAGGTGTATTGTAAGAGCATCATAGTAAGATAAAAAATCAGGGTGATAAGGTACTCGAAGGACTACAGTGTACTACAGTAATGATATTATGAGAATCATAAACAAGAGACTAAGCGCAGCTCTGTTCAGGATGTATCCAGCAACAAAACTAGTCTCCCTGCTCCGAAAATCCTCCCTGTTAGTGTAGTCAAAGATCAACAAGTATCCCTCATTTGTTACCTCTAACTGTGTATGCCAATTCACACGTACCTGCGGTAGCATTTATATGGGAAGAACAGAAAGAGGGGCCTACGTTAGATTCTTAGAGCATGTACCAAGGTGCTTCTTGTTAAGGCGTCCAAACACTTTGAGCTCTTCATTTATCAAACACCTGATAGACAGCGGATACTTATCAGACGCTCGGAATCATTCAAGATGACAGACGAAGTAGCTTAAGTCTTCTTCGGTTTGCTGAGGCTGTCGCAACAAGCCATTTGAAACTTGATCGATGTGTCCACAGGGTTTCTGTCTTTGGACTTCAGTTATCCTGATGACTCACCCCTTAGATACGTTTGTTTTCTAATTTCATTAACTTATCTTTTCAACCACCCTTTCTTTCCATTTGACTTCCATAAGAGATAATTCTTCTCGACTCACCATATTTAATCTTCATCTTTTTCATATTACCTCTTGCAAACCAAATGGGGATCTTCTCTTGCCTAACTAAGTACTTGGTACTAATTTTTCTTACCACCCTAACAATAAAGCCGTCGATTATTTTTTCGAGAAACTTCTTTCTAACAGGATATATATATGTACATTGTGGTACTTCAGGTACTTTCATATTGGTTTGTTTATTAGATGTATCACATAGTGAAACAGTATTATTTACTGGATAATAAATAATAATAAGTAAGTAATACAGTTTTACTGTGTGATACATCTAATAAACAAACTGATATGGAATTACTTACTACCATAGTGGCCAAGTTTTACATATATATTAGTACTTCAGGTACCTTATCAACCTGATATTTTATCTTACTATGATGCTCTTACAATATGCCTGTTGACAGACGAAACTTATAGGCTGTATGCAACTGATGAGAACCAGCGAAATGAACTGGATCCATGTTATTCTGCACTAGTATTTGTTCAATCGCTGTCATAATCCTGTCGCCGCCTATGCATAATTTAAAACAATTTAAGTCCAGCTGGAATTTTTCGATCTATCCACAATTCATGAATAAGCCAAATACAAGGAGTGGAGGAAAAACAGAACATGTAGTTCATCAGAAACATTCTTTGTAGAAATTTCATTTTCGTCAGCTGAAAAATCGCATTTATAAACAGCTTCTCCTCATTCAAGAGAATAGTAAGCAACATGATGGAATGTAAGTAGCATAGTCGACAATAATAACCGATACATCAGAGAAGTTGAATAAGGGTGACAGGGTTCTGCAATACGAAAATTTATCTGATGGTTAAGTTGTGATCCTAGTCCACACAGAAAGGAAAGAACTGGGACACTACGTGAGAATTCGGAGCAGTGGAAGAGTTCGACAAAGGCAAAATAATTGGCTGGAAACAACAGAGTTAAATAACAGAATAGTAAGAGTGGTTGATGAATTATCCACAAGTGAAGCGCACATTTCATCTAGAGGAATGCCCTCATTAAGACTTGAAAGCTTGAACCCCTATTTTTCATTTAGAACAAACGGAATAAAAAAAAATTGAATGAAACTGAATTGAATAAAAGGTTCTACAAGCTAAAAGTGTTACATTACCTTCAAGTTACACTATTTTTGCATTAACTATCAGTCTTATGATAGGTTTGAAAGTTTAAAATCACTAAAATTTGACATGAAATAACTAATCGTCATTAGCCCACTTCACAACTTCAATAATTTACAATATGAATTATGTCCGTACTTTTAAAAGACGAAAATAATCTTTTCTGTCTGTCTTTCCCTTGTTGTATTATTTAATATTCCCATTTGTAAAGACTTCAGTTAATTAGGGCAGTTAAGTGGTTTAACCGTGAGAAAAATTTAGGTAAAAGTGAGATCCATGTGCTTCTTAAGACGCCTAATACAAACGGTATATCGTATGACGTGTTTAAATGAAACACTGAGGGTTGATATGCAACTAGTGATGCAACTGGCGACATGACGAAGAACAAGTGTTTGGAGTAATGACAGGAAAGGAAAGGCGAAGAATAACTTATCCGCATTACACAATAAGTGGAGCTACTAAAGAAAAGTGAACTGGTTTAATATATTACCAATATTCACTGTGACGTTTCCTGGTCAACAACACACCTTACTTCATAAATCTTGTTGTCTATAATATGCATTTATCTTACAAACTCTGTGTTTTGTTCGAAAGCAGTGTGTCGAAAATAAGTTATCTATTTTTGCAAAAGTATATGAAATTAACACATACTGAAATCTCATTATTTTAATTCCCTTTCTCTTGGATATCCATAAATTCTAGGTTACAGACAATGGTGAACCTCAGTTGAAATCTTCAACAATTCTAAGAATTCTATTCACTCCTCCATTTTATCCTCCTAACAATCATAAGGAATCATCCAACTCTGTACAGACAAAAAATACAATCTGGAATAAATCGTCGAAAAATAATCTTGATTTTACTAGAGGTCATTCCGCATCAAATGATTTCGACTACAATTACAGAGATCCACCAGCTGAGAACGAGCTCACAGGCATAGGTGTACTTCTTGGACTAGTAACTGCAATAGGCTTATTTGTTTGCTTTTTAATTCTTGTCATAATGATTACATTTCATCAAAGTCGAAAGTTAAGTGAACATAGGAAACAGTTACTTGAAAGAAGACGTCAAGTGAACAGTCAGAATGAATTGCAACATCAACAATCACAACAACAACAACAACAGCACCAGCGCCAACAACATCTACAAGCAATACCAATCAACATACCGTCTACACATTTTTTACCTAATTCAATTATTCAACATATACCTAATGAACAATTTAATAAATCAGAGAAAAATTTAACAGATATTTCCAGACATTATTGTATACAACAAACAATGAGTGAAACTCTGCCACCTGCACAGATTCCTTTAGTAACTAGTTTTACAACACTCTGAAAGACACTTCAATTCTTTTTTTTATTATGTTTATCTTCATTTTTGCTTTCTTTCTTGTTTTTTCTTGTTTTACTCTGCCACTTCCATATTGAACATTGAACAATAATTTCAAAAAAGGGAAGACAGTCAACTCAGTGAACCTAATTATGTAACTTAACAGATAAAATTACTGATTACAATGAAGATAAACTATTTAAAACGAAGTAATACTTTTTCTCACCTACTGTTGATACATTCAGATGTAACTTCGCGAATGAGTGTTACTGCAGAATATACTACTGACTGATTAGAGTAGTTGGAATGCAATCACATTAACTTGTAATGCCTCTTTGTCAAACTGAATTGATCTAGGCACTGAACAGTTGCTTCATTGATTCAGAGCCGAACTCATCAGCGGTGTTATCATTTCCACCGAGCTCAGAGAGCCAAATCAGTTCTATACAAATCAAATCACGGCTAGTTACTTTTCAGAAGTATTTCTTGTGAAATTTTATCTTGAACTGCGTGATTTGCAAGCCGAGAGTTTGAAATCAATGTTACGCATAAATCAATTATGGTTCTATGTTAATGGGATGATTTGACTGTGATTTTAGTTATGATATTATTAGTGATATTGTTAAAAAATAATAAACAACGAAGAAACATGTGATAATAAGAATAGCGAAAGCATCATAGTTATACAAATAAATGTTCAAACAAGTTTGTATTGTAAATTCAGATATGATTATTAAGCGATGAAGTTCATCTGAAGAGTGTGATGTACTTGTGAAACACATTTCAAACACACATTTGCTTGTCAATTCAATTTATATGAGAGTGGGATATAACCAAACGTCAAGTAAAACAAACAAAATAAAAGGGGATTCGAGAGTAATAATAATAATGATTTACTTTATTCCTAAAACAGTACTTGTGATACAGAATGAAATTTTCAGCATTAATCACAATACTGCATCTAATCTCCTCAAATTATAAATAAAAATTAATCACACAGAAAATTTTCCACATTTACAATAGAGGTAGTGTCAAAAACATGCAGCATATAAAATGGAAATAGCAATAATAATGATAACAGCTAGGGTAATAATAATAAGAATACAAGTGAAAATTGCCGTTGGCTTGTGTCACACAGTATTGGCAATGTGGTATAGAAATCCTAACATGTTTAAAAATATTGAGTATAATGTTCTCTTTACATGATATGGTGAGGGGAAAAACAAAGATTACAGCCGTCATGGAGATAAGTTGGTGTTTGCAATTATGAGAGTAAAACAGAGAAGTAACAGGACCATAAATATAATAGAAGTAATAAAAGTAAAACTTGAAGGTATATAAGGATGGATGGAGGAAATCGTTTATTTACTAGATGAAAAAAGGTTAGTTAATTCTTGCCTGACGCTATTTTCATCACATAAAATACGTGCCAAGTATGGTATCATAGAATTTTTATACTTAGACGTGCGAGCATACAGTTTTCTGAAGTTACTTCTTGTTCTACCTGAGGAGATGCAAGGTGAAAGCTGAGGGTAAAGCGGATGCTCCAAGTCAGACAAAATCCCTCTAGCAAATTTATTGCATGAAGTCAAGTGCCTATCGACAACGACGTTAACTATGTGGTCCACTGGGACACCACTCACCCTACTGACAGTCTTCAGTATTCTACGAATTGTGACATAGTCCTTTTTAAGCAAACCAGGAAAGAATAAGAGTGAGCAATAAAGAAGAATAGGTAGGATGCAAGAGTTTATGAACTGTAAGAGGAGGGGTTGAGTTATACCCGAGTGCCTTAACTTCTTAATGTAAAATGTCAAGCGGAATATTTTACTGGAGATTGCTAAGACATGGGAAGACCAGGAGAGATCAGAAGAGAGAATGAGTCCAAGATACTTAATTTCTGATTTGATTCCTATATCATTGTCGTCAATTTTACAAGTGTCATGAGAATCGATGACTTCTTTTAACTGTCTTTTACATCTTAAGCTGAAATCAACAGTTTGACACTTAGAAGGATTCAGTTTAAGACCGTTAGACTCAGACCATTTGCTGACTTCCGATAGAAAGCTATTTATTTTAGTACAATCTAGCTGGGAGTTAACAGCCATTGAAACCGTTAAATCATCAGCGTACTTCACAAAGTTTATTTCATCAGAGTGAGGCAAGTCATGCAAGAAGAAAGAAAAAAGAAAAGGAGAAAGGGTGGCGCCTTGAGGGACACCAGCTAAAGTAGACAATGAAGGAGAAGACTTCCCTTTATACACGGTGTACTGCTTTCTTTGTGAGAAATAGGAGAAATAGGGAGATTATAACTGACACTACTCTTCATAAGGTAACCGGATAAAAATGACCAGGGTAGATTAAGCGTTTGAACATCATACACTAGGTTTCCTTTACTACTTTGAACGAAAAAGAACGGACATATTTTCAGGATATTACAACCTCGTTTTGTTTTGTGGATTCCTTTCAACTGCATACATCCTAAACAAAAAAATTATCAGTTACAAAATTTATGAAAGTACCTTTTTCTAACAATGACGTTGGGTTATAGATAGAAAGTATAAGCCACATAAATCCCAAAATGATGCATATGAACAGGTTGGTCAATCTTAAAAGGCTAACGTTTTAAAGTAGAGAGGAGAAGAGTTCATATTTTACTTGGAAACAAAAATTGACTAGAGACAGAATACAAGGTCGAAAAACAGAATGAATTTATAGATAATGTGATGCAAAGGTCAACAGGTTGAGAGTGAGTAGTAAAGCGAAAATGATGACAGACAAATATTTAAGTAAATTTGGCCAGCTACTAGTGATGAGTTCAGCTCAGTAAGTGAAAGTCAAAATCAAAATTTTCAAGAGTTTGGTTTCTAAGGATGAGAGGTTTTTAAGAGTATGACCACGGATTGATATGAGTTACAGAACCAGTGAAAACCAGGGAGTACTGGACAGCTGCTGTTTCATCCTAGTTTGGGAGTCATCGGCAGTACGCAACCACTGGGCCTCGAACACAAGATGTTCCAGTTACACGGAAAGCTCTTATACCATTCAACCACCCATTCAAACCCCAGTGGGTGCGTACTGCCAAAGATTCCCGAACTAGGATGAAACAGCAGTCCAGTACTCCCTGATTTTCAATTCTTGCCTAACAGTTGTCAATCAGTGGTTAAACTCATATAAGAAATCAAAATTACCCAGCAGGAGAAAACACAAAATCACACGAATAAACTAATTACAGTTACCGGGTTAGTGAGAGATTAGTCATGCTACCTTTCTGTATACAGAAGTTGGGTCGAAGTCTTCTGTTAGCAATGGCTTCTGCAAGATGATTAAGTGTAACAACTATTTACTTTTGTACACGCATGGAGACAGCTTAATTTTACGAGTGACCATCGCCTTAGCATACTTCAGCATTCCCACACGCGTCACATTTTCAGGCAAGTTCCGCATTTTATCATCGATATCTAAATAGTAAGATCATGTAATGATAGACTTTAAAGAAAGTAGATGTTTTAATGAAGATACAGTAAGACTTAGGAAGCAATGACGAAACAGGACAATAAAATGAATAAAAATAGACGGCCGGGTGATGGCACAATTAGGTGATTAGGTCTTTACTAGTCACGGAAGAGATGATTATCACAAAAAAGTTTCAGGCACAGAGATATTTTAATACTATTGGTTAGAATACCAATTGCCTAAGCGATATGCAGTAGAAAAATATGAAAACTATTCAGACATCAAGTAAGAAGGCATTATTTCATATTGTTTTGATGCGACATTACAATCCTTGTAAAATGAGTGATATTTTGAAGAAAACTCTGGGCTTTTGCAATTCGTTGAATTTTCCGAGCTTGTTGGTTTGATTGGTAGTTGGTTTAGCTCCGCAATTAAACCAACCAGCTCGGGAAACACTACTAATTGCAAATCATCCACCTAAGCTAAAAATCTTCTCTATGTTTTTAAAAAACTCTAGGCTATCTAGTGAATTTTTCAATTATTATTAAATAGTCAGTAGAACAACTGGATCTCGTCTTTCCAACTCATATCATTTATAGGTACAACGTTTTCTTTCTTTCCTTTCCTTGTTATGTGCTGCTTTGTTTCTCTCTTCCTTACAAACTATACTTAAAACATTTTTCTTCATTCTTTCACACTCTGTATATTTCGACCTTTTTGTTACCGCTTACGCCAATAAATATGCTCTCGCCTACTTTTCTAACACCTTCAAACACTCTGTTCAATTTTGACTTGCTACCAACATGCCAATATGTTGTTGTCAAAACTAACTGAGATTACCCTTAATCTATGTAGAATTTTATTTATTGATAATGTACCAACTGGATGCAATACTGTAGTAAAATGCTGAGAATTCCATTCTGTATCACAAGTACTGTTTTGGAATAAAGCAAATTAATGCTATTATAAAAAAATTTTCGGTTGCTCTCATAACTTATTTTGTCTTCTGGGTTTACGTACGTAGTGTTTATTGAAAGAACAGAGCTTAGGTTACGTCAACCGATGCTTGAATCACCAGGCTACCTAAATTTCCGTGCACCACATAACCTTAACTGTTCCCTATTTCTTATTGTTTTAATCATTCAATTATTGTTCAGACATTAGGTTTTGCATTGGCGGTGGGTTTCAACCACTAGGTACATGTCACTGAATCCTTAAGGATAACGGCCACTGATTTACTTGATTCCCATATAAATACTGCATTCAAATGTGAATCAGTCTACAATTTATTGGTACTAACACAATGAATATATTTGAAAATTTATTCTGATATTAGCTGATTCCTTATAAGTAATTGGAATGGACTATGAGAAAGTCAGTAAATAAGGTATGTATATTATTCACACTATTAATGTGGTCAGTGATGGTTGAGGAGGGCATGAAAATCTGCGTCAACCCAAAGTGCTTGGAGTGAAATGATGACTTGGTTAGCAGTTATGTCTCATCGCTGAGCTGGTCGAGTGCCGGACTACTAATTAGGAGACTGTTAG